CGCGTTTTATAATATCTGCATGCGTCATTCGTGTGTGCGTCAAGGCCTCGTATTTTTAGTTATGGAGTTTCATTTTATATAAAACGGATGTGTATCATGTATTTGTGTAATACAGAACAGCCGTTTAGTTACAGATCGTGATGGAAACGGTTGTAAACAATACCAGAATCACGATATTTCACTGCCGTTTCCCGTGCCCAAGGCGTCGTCCAGTGGCGGCTCGTAAAAATTCGGGGAGCGTGCTACGGAAGGCTGGAATACCCAGCAATGATATTGTTCAGTGGCTGGCTGACAGATTTGCATCCTTTCAGTTCATGAAGTTAATGCACCTCAGAGTTTATCTAAATTCAAAACTTCTGTGAGGCGTTGGGCCTCTGGTATTTGATTCTTGCCCCACGCATGAACAGTTCTGACTGTAAGTCGATGCTAGAAGAAATATAATTAACCTATTATAACTTACCGAAGGAAAAAAGGCTTTACGAACCAGTGATTTGTTGCCAGGATACCGTCTCCTGTCTCATTAAACGCTGAAATGCGCCCACAATGAAAATTGCATTTCATGCTCAGACACCGAATATTTCGGCGCGCTGTTAATTGGTCTCGTGGTGGGGTGATAAAGGAGGTGAGTAATTCTATTACTTCCGGAGTTAAAGAAAGAAGTTACGTCATACGAATCCGCGATTGATATTTGGCGCGTTTAAAATTTCGTACAAGTACATAGCCTCAGATTGGTTGGGAGGACGTTGATGGGTACAAATCGGTTTGGATGACGGCAGTTGCAAACGAATTTAAGGCATTATCCTGGGATTCGTCTCTCTGGATAACCGGTAGTCTTGCCAAGGATAGACGGGGTACCTCCCGATTCTGCTTCACAGTACTGCTTGTCTTTATAGTGAAAGCAGAATGACGAGCAGGAAGCGATATGCTGTGGTAGTTACGGAATTTTTATGGGATTTAAAATGCAGGGTCGAAGTCCTACAGGCCAGAAAGAAGTTACGTGATACTAATCCAAGGTACGTTAACTCATCTGTTGCAGTTCTTTCGTGCCATGGATTTACCACCCATCAGTCGTTTATTTTCGTCGTTCGATACGTATATTAAGTGTTTGTATCTTAACAAAATGTTTGATTACGAATTTAGCTTTGGCGACCGAAACCTACATATATGAGCGTGTATAGAATGTAGGCCATAGAAAAGAGATTCCCAAGGAAGGAAAGTTTATAAATTTTGTTAATGACCAGACCTGGAGAAATCTAGTCCTGTGCTGTGTGCGACTTCTGACATTTGGGCTGTTGGTTGGAATTTGTCCAAATACGGGTATGGCGTTACTTTGCGGAAAAGGAAAGCGACATGAATACATGACATCCGGGATTCGGTGGGCCTTGCTGGTGTGTTGGAGCGACGGTAATTTATGTACGTACTGAATGGGGGGGAGTGTTTGGACACAAGATTTTAATGTTTTCTGGACCTGTTGTACATATTTATTGACAGTAACTATTGTATCGTGCGTGCACTTGACCTTTGGATACTCCACTTACCAGTGTTCGGTCCAAGTAGGTCCAGACGTGAGTGGTGAGCTACGACGGTGTCCTTGTGACGGTATTTGGATCATAATTGGTATACGTGCCGTTCTGTGGATTTGCTGTTGAAAAGTCTGGTTAGGGCACAGGAATTCTGTCCTTCGGTCCGGCTGGTCGCTGGCTTGTCACGGAGACGCGGATTTGCGCCCAGGTCAGTCCATGTAGAGTTTTTGGTCGACGTAGTGGTAATAGGAGGTTTTTCCCCCTCAGAATTCTTCATTCTCCCCTGCCAGTACAATTTCACCGCTGCTCCGTATTCACTGTGTCATCTGGGGCATGTTCAATGGCCACTTTGGTGCAGACAGTCCACCCCACCGTGTCGACCGTCCTCTGGCCTGGGTCTGCAGAGTCGCATATTCGACTGTAGTTGAATTCATAATAACGCATCTTTCTAGGATTCATAGCATAACGCTGATGCAATGAAGCACAAATGCCTCACGCTACAAACCAGTAATGGTTTTTATTGTGGTGCTATTTTTGTCTTGAGTACCAGAGATAAGTTTAGTTGAACGCCACACCAAAGATAGTAACAATGTTTTATGGCCCCGAGGGCAAGAGATCAACTTACTGAAAGGATAGTGTTGTGGGAAAGATATACTGTATGGTAAAACATTTTGTTACTATTATTGTTGTTGTTGTTCCTTGGGTCTACAACCCAGTTGTGGGTTTTCGCCGCCTCTTTTTCGGAGGTATTTATAACAGTGAGAATTGTGTCATGGTCTTGAGAATTTTGAAATCCTATAAATTGTCTCTGCAGGAGAGGAAATCCTGTTAAAGCTTTGTAGATAACGTTACAGCATTCACGCTTTCCTATAGTTGCCTTATACTGTTTCGATTCCCTTAGACAAGACGGAGTTACCACTTTCGCGGGGGGAATTTCTGTCGTATTTGCCTTGATCTTCAAACTCTGTTCCATCGTAACAGACTACTGGAATTTTCTGTTGTACGCCTAGATCTCTCAAATTACGAGCTTTGAAATTTTGAAGGTGGTGAAAATCTGTAATGAGGTTCACTGGGTTATGACACCGTGTAGTCTTATAGGTGGTTTCCAACGTTTCGGATGAACTTTCGCCTCCATCTTCAAGGCAAAATTGAAGATGGTGGTTGTAGTAGGTTATTGGGAAAAATGTTTAACTACTCACAAGACTTCACTGCATCGTAACCTCATAAACCACAACAGAGATGTCTCTCAACTTGTGTTTTGTGTTGAAATTGTGGATCAACATCTTATATGCATTTGTGATTCTTCGTACTTTTATATCTCGTAAGTGCTAAGTTTTTAATGTATCTTTATGGCAAAGAATAGTACACTATTTACCTTTCCGAGACGCTGTTTAAAATGCAAGTTGTGTTTGTCACTACAATTTATTATAAAGAGACCAACATCCCACTCTGCAGGCTTGTAAAGAGGATGAACGTTGACCACATCCTTCCACATCGCGTGCCTTTTAGTTCACAAGTCATGGCATTATAATATCAGATGCGTCTTTATATTTGCAGTTGCTAATATGTTTAATATGTGCCAGATAATTACATTACGTTTCTGTAGAGTCGGATTAGTTTGATCCGTGCACCTAAAACGCTGCAGTAGGAACTCTATTTATAGAGTTGACTGTTGGTTTAGCATGCGATGTGTTTGATGGAAAGTGATAAGAGGGAACCAGAACCCGGTTGGCAGTGACGTTCTTCGCATTCGAATTAATCTGCCAGGGTTCGCTTCTCTGGGACTTCCTGCGTCCTGTGGTACAAGGAACGCGCGTATTTTCCTTACCGGTTTGAGCATAAAAGCATGTTTTCTGCATCTGGTTACAGTGCTTGCACGAGGAAGTGCACGATTTTGAGCTGCGTTGTCTTAAAACGACACCGGAAGTTTATGAACACGATAATGAACCAAAATAAAAGCGGGAAATTTCTATACTTCTTCATCTCGCCCTATCTTTTCGAGTTTACAATCTTTATGTTTACGAAGTTCACTGTTAAGTTTGCAAATCTTCCGAACTCTCATAACCGTCCTTGATATTACGTAAGTAGCTTACGGAACTTTTAAATATTTAACGTATGGCTTCACAGGAAGATAGTGATCTTAATCATAGGCATGAAATTATCTCCGTTGTAAAACACAATGGTGGTTAAACCTGGGACACCGGATATGCGCTATAACAACGGTTACCAACATCGATAATAAATTTCATCTGGTAGAAGTTTACCGAAGTCTCAGAGGTCCTTGCTGTCTCCATTATCAGGGTGATGGGTAATCGACCTGATAATGAAGACAACAGTGACCTCTACCAGACATGACGCTGCAACCCTGCCTTGTTTTTAATTTTTGAAACATGAGCGAGGTCTGTATACCCAACCTGCTGAAAGTGTAGAAAGGCACGTATAATGTAAGAACAACCCAACGTTTGCATTAAGAATAGTTGACGAGGTTGTGGAAACTACCCTTCGGTCTTCCTCGCAGGTGATGGACTACGTTACAAGGTTGTAATTGAGATATTCCCTGTTTTTTTCTTGGCCAGAACTTGAAGTGCTGCCAACATTAACGGTTTTGGGACATTTCGTAGTCGCACAAAATCAGTTTCGATGACTTTGTGTCCAACAGAACTTTGAGGCTGATGAAGACAAATGTAAATGTTTAAATGATTAGGACTGAACTGTTTTAGTTGTGTGAAAGCGATTAATGGGGATTATCCAGTTTGATTGTCATCTCTAGGCTGATGTGCGTAATTGTTAGCCTGGTTTCCATTCCTTGGCATCTGGTGTGTGAAGCAGTGGATTATGTTCAATTGATTCAGGGTAGGATCTAGCGAGAGTCTTTCTAAATACAATAATGAACTTTTAGGTTCCATAGAATCAAGGAATTTCTTAACCAGCTAAGTATATATGAATTTTGGTAGAAAGACCCTGCATATTAGAGTTCTTTCTTCTATGGCTCTCCGGTCCGTATTCGGTCCATGGCCTCCTCAATTCTCCTCTTCCATTCGGTCCTCTGTTAGGTCCGTCTGTCCGAGGCTTTGATCGAGGTTTCGAAACGTCTTCCTTTTTACAGTGCAAGGTTGTTAGCCTTGCGACCAACCCCCAACCTGGAGGACCAGGGTACCTGTCTTAGTCTGACCTCTCCCCCTCGACCAATCTGGCTAGGGAGGCCCTACCAGTAGCTCTTGGGGTCACTGAGGTACTCAAGCCCCACCACCACGACAAGGTGCAGGTACCATTAAGTGGGGGCATATTAGAGTTACTTTTTAAAAAATAAATAATACTGCTTAATGAAAATTAGTGTAATACCAATGGTAACTTCCATGTGGAACTGAGAGCTTTTGTGGAGTTAAATCAATTTAAGAAAAGGTCGTTCTAGGTTCTGCTGTTAATGAAGTCTTAGTTTTGCGGGATCATTTATTGTTTCGGTGTTGTGTGTTGCAGGCTTCTACAATAGATGGGCGCAGGAAAGGAGCATGTCTTTTCTGCCAGGAATACTTCATGGACCTGTATCTGCTCGCTGAACTGAAAACAATCAGCCTTAAAGTGACAACAGTTGACATGCAGAAACCACCTCCTGACTTCAGGTTCGTAACTTCAGAAATCCTGCTTTTTTTTAACTGCATTTTGGCTAATGTTTGTGTTTAGAGCGACTGTTGAATATTTTTCACTCACCGAGGATAGCTGGTAAGTGAGCTGAGGTCCGAGTGTGTCCTGAAAACAAAGCAGGGATTCTAACCACTCACTGTAATATTTATGGTTGATATTTTTGTACCGTAGAATAACAAAATACATTATAATGATTTAAAATAATTAACATTGAAGTTAGATGAGGTTTCTGATTCCTATGAAGATGCCTGTTTTTTTGGGATATCCTGATGATGAAGGCAGCAAGCACTTACAAAATATCAATAATATGGTTATCTACATTGGGTGACCGAAGAGTTTACATCTTTGTCTTGGTTTTTGCATGTTTGAGGGAGTTCTGCTTATTTTTAATGAGATTTATGTTGTTATCGTCACACCGACGTCTTATTGCTTTAATGAAGCCAGAGCTTGTAGTTTTTGCTTGTTCGCTGTGTGACGTTTCTCGTCGTGCTCAGTTTGTGTAAGCTATGAGGCTGATATCACGATTTAAATTATGTTGCAGAACAAACTTTGAAGCGACACCTCCTCCTATTCTCATTGACAATGGACTCGCAGTACTGGAAAATGAGAAAATTGAACGGCACATCATGAAGAATGTTCCTGGTGGCCACAATCTCTTCGTGCAAGATAAAGAAGTTGCCACTCTTGTCGAGAATCTGTATGGTGTAAGTCAACCTCAGTTTTCCAATAGGTCTCATGTCTCCTAAGCGGCCCCATCCACGTACGAGTCTGGTTTGCAAGTCCGGCTCGGCTCGGGTTCCATCGAGCCAAACTCGTTTGTGGGTGGGGTGTCAGGAGCCGAGTCTGCTGCGCATGCGCAGCGAAATATATCTGAGCCCGGCTCACGAGTCAAGCTCGCCGAGCCAGACTCGTATGTGGATGGGCCGCTTTACTGTGTTGGATACTCGTCTTTGTTTAGAGAAGGGGTTCTCATCCTGCAAACTGCTGATATGTTTTGTGCTGCCCACGTACATTTTTTGACATCTGTAGCAAAAGATCACGCCGCTTTATCACATGGAGCTTATGAAGTTGTCTCGTTTATTCAGACCTAAATGTATCTTCGTGATATGATTTACTGTCATTTTCTGTGAAGTTTCCTTTTAGTGTAGATTTATGTGCAAATTTTGTATAAACATAATTTCTCTCTGCAGAATATTCAGCATTTAGAATTGAAAGATGTTACTTTATATTATTGAAATAGTCTTACAAGGATCATTCATAGGCAAAAGTGACATTTTCGTCATCGACATAGGCATTGACCTTTTTTGGTGCGGTTTATTTTACGACAAGGCCTTTTAATTGTTTTCTGTGTTCCCATAAGCACTCTTTTCCTATTTATTTTCCATTGGTTGGTCTGTTTGCCTTGCCATAATCTTTTCAGTCAATATGTCGTTGATCCATCACTATTTCCTAAAATCTTGGTTTATCGCCTTCTGTTGTTACTCAGTCCTACCAACTGTCCTTTGATTACCAGCCTACCTTCACTCACTTATAATCTAATGTTTAACACCCTTTTATTTCGTATAAACTTATTTTTGTCATTCAAGATACTCATTTATGGTCTTTGAGTTATTTGGAAATTATTGTTGCTTTGTTTTATGGAGAGAATTTTACAAGAAATGGATTGCCGGGAAGTAATATTTTTATTTTTCTGCCAGGGTGGGTCAACATACAGCAATGCCTTTTCAATTCTTTTATGTCCTTCCATAAGCACTTTCTTTAGAGGCGTGTCCTTTCTTTACTTACTTCCCATGCTTACGTGCTTTTTCTTGGTCACTAAGCTTACTTTATCATGTCCTTGTTCTTCTCAGTGGATTGTAAACCCATTGTAAGTCCGTTATTTGCTATTAATCTGTCATGTCAACTTTCATACTATAGTTGATCTAAGAGGGTTTTTTTGGGGGGGGGGGGGGGGGG